CGACAGACGGGTCCGATACAGGGGTATGTAAGGTGAAAGGGGACATGATAAGTGAAGTTCTACGGACTAAACCTACCCTGTTGACGGAGTGTCAACTAGTGGAGGTTTGTGATCGTGCAAGTGAAAAATAGCTCCTGAGATCTCCTATATCCTTGAATTATTTCTGTTTACTTTTCTCGCTCGAATTGTTAATTATTGCAATATTATTGCTCTACTTGTAAATAGGGATTGTTACTTGAACAACGTGCCTACATGTGTGTTCTTGGCCTCGCGAGCGTTTTGCTCACCCTGTAGATTTGTTTTCCTTAACAGGAAAGGATCTGGAATGGACCTCGGAGAAACCCCTTTCGAATGTACTTTTGTATTAGGGTTTTTCAATGTACTTGGCTAGACTCTGGATTATTGTATATTTTGAAAACTTGATGTAAGGATTGGATACTTGACGTATTTTGGAACTCGTGATGTAAGTTTGAATGCTATTTATGGGAGTGACCTCCCTTTCTTACTTATATCATCGTGATGGCTGGTATTTCATTAAACTTGAATGGGAATTGTCTTGAGTTCTGGCGAGAGCTAGGCAGGCGTCCTGCGGATACCCTTTGGTTCGCCTTAGGGAGAAGTGGGGGCGTCACAGTTGGTATCAGAGCGCTAGGTTAGAGATCTATATGGGTGACATATTAGAAACTCTACCTTTAAGATTTGAGATAGGACGACTAAGTCATACCTTAAGTGATATTTGGGCAAACTAGTGACTAAGTTAGGCATGCCCTAGGTGACATCCGAGCGAGCTAGAGATTAAGTTTCTAACCCGAAAAGTGTGATTGTTTTGCAGGGATGAAAAATGGAAACGAAGCCCTAGCAGCTAATGGGAATGGCCATGCGAATGGTCATGTAGAGCCTCCTAGGCCTATTTACTACCGAACTCTTGGTAGAGGGGCTCGCGTGCGTTACTCACCTGCCAATAGGTATCCCCGATGTTCGTGTAGGTTGACCTTCACCTACCCAAACCACCTCGTACTAGCTTTGGACGACGAGCATCGTCAGTTGGTGAACCTCAATCGAGATTTACAGGAGGAGGTGGATGAGCTTAGATAGATGGTAGGTGCTCAGGGCGAGAGGATCGCTGAGCTTGAGGAGCTACTGGCTGGCGAGGTGGCTACTGCTGCGGTCACTCGCGAGGAGCTTCAGAGGGTTAGGACCCGACTTGCTAGGGTAGGTGAGGAGGTCCGTGATCGAGCTTCCGGGATCCTGGCCGATGCCACTGAGATGATAAATGGGGTGATGGATATTGTCCAGAGCCCAAATCAGGAGGAGGATCCTGAGGAGGAGATTCTGCCTGGTAGTCCTACTGTGGACTAGGTCCCTAGTGATTGACTCTTTTGACTGGTGTAGCTAGGATTAGCAGGGGTGATACTAAGTGCTGAGGCCATTGTATTTTGCATGACTGTGTGGTCTACTTTTGAGGCACTTGCTTTTACTTTAGTCTTTTGTGACTAAAAGGACTCTTGTGGCACTTACATGCTATATTTTTGTGATCTCCCCTATGATTTGCTAATTGTATGAACTTAAAATGTTAATGAATGTAAATTATTGTTATTTCCAATGTTTCTTGATTGGTTCTCGTTTTCGACTTTTCTCGCATAATTGATTTGTTTCTTACACTGGCACGTCTAGGATAATGGAAGAACTAAGAAGTGGTCGAGGCAGTGGACGAGGGACTAGACAGGCCCAACCTCATGGGGATGACCAGGGATCGGCAACTAGACCGATCCAGGGACAGAAAAATGTAGAGGGAAATCAAGTGGCTGCTGCCATTAATAGGATGACTGATATCCTAGAACGTTTAGTGGAAAGACAAGGTCCTGGACCACTTAACCAAATTGGGGAACAGGATAGAGGAGAGGATAGAGCTCTAGAGAGGTTCTTGAAATTTAACCTGTGACGCCCCGAAAAAAAATGAGTTTGAGAACCCGGAAATTTTCTAATTTTCTAGGGTTTATTTTTTTTTTAACGCCTGCCTTTTCTACATTTTCTTGATTAGAAAAATTCCCCAGATCAAGTTTATGAGCAAATATAGTTTTCAAATGATTTTTCTAGTATCGGTTAGTTTTTGAGAAATTAAAAGCGTATTTTGGACGTGGGATCCGCAAGTGCGGTAAATGCATTATATTTTTGACAACTTGTTGGAATTTTGTATTAAGTGATATTAGTTTACAATGTGTTAAGATATTTGTATTGGAGAGACAAAAAGATAAGTTTTAAACCTAAAGGTGACAAGTGTCACCATTGTATTGGAAATAGCTTATGACTTACTATTCATTTTCTTGACTTTTGACCAATTGCTTAAATATCTCAAAAATCACACAAAATTCATTCTTGTCTTCAACCTCTTGGCCGATTCTCTCTCTAGCAAAGAAGGAAGAAAAACCTCTTCAAAGTTTGGCAATTATCTAGCTCAAATCCTCCAAAACACTTGCTTGATCTAGTTTCTACTCCATAAAATCCCTCCATTTGGTGCTAGTGAGTGATTTGGTGAAGTTTTTTGGAAAAGCTAAGGTGTCCTACAACTCTCCCTCTCTTGTTTACTAGGTGAGTGGTATATGAACTTTCCCCTACACTTAATGAAGCTTGAGTTGTACTTAGTGGAAGCTAAAGTGTTGAATTTTGTGATTTAATTCTTGTTTTTGGATGAAATGGTGAAGTTTACAATTTATTGGTGAATTTTCTGGTTTAATGTGATCATGATGTTGTGGCCTTGTATGATGATTGGAAATGTTATGTAATGAAGCTAGAAGGTGGAAAAAGTGGACAATTGCAACCAATTTTGGGTTTGGAAGAAATTCTGGAAAATTAGGGTTCTTGAAGCTACATTCTGTCCGAAATTTTAGATCATAGATAGAGGCCGAATTGGCCTTAGCTCAAAACATGAAAGTTGTAGGGAATGACATTTTAGAGGTTCCTACAAAATTTCAGGTCATTTGGAGTAGTGTAGAGTGATATATGTCGATTTTACTGTTGCTGTTCTGGGTTGATCAGAATGTGCGAACTGCGCTTGTAATCGTCTGTTTTGACTGTAATTTCTTTGGATTTGGATGTTGGTGTCTTCTGATGAAATGTAGCTTGATGTCTTAGCTAACATATGCCTTTGGAATCAATGCATTTGGACCTGTATAGACTGAGTTGGACTGATTACAGCATAGTGTGATTTGTAAACCTGCAATTACGGTTCTGGTTTGGTATTCTGCATTTTTGACTTAGTTGTGCTGGGATTTGGACTGAGTGACCTTCTACATTGTTGTAGCCCTGGTTCTTAGCTTCGAAATGGTGGGTCTTACACCCTAATCCGATAATCGTAGTGCAAGTTGTACCATTACCGCAAAATGACGTCAAAACTATTTTTCTGGTTTTGAGCTTAACTTTCATTTCCGGACTTTTCCCTAGCTTGACTTGTACTAGTACTACTTGGAGCTTGCTGAATGGCTATTGAATGAACTTGTTGTTGTGTGTGTACCTTTGGGTTTGAATGAGGAAATAATGAAGCCATGATGGCTGGAAAAGTTAGCAAATTCAGGGGAAGTGCTGTCCGAACTTTGAAGGGATTTGTTTGCATTGAGTTTGTGATTTAAGACTTGTATTTGAGCAAGGCAATGATATATGATGGATGATTTCTGAGCCGTGGAGGTGAGTGAGCCTAAACTATTTCCAAAGTACTTGTGAAATGTTTCTTGCATTATGTACTCGATTGCATATCATGCGTGCTTGCATGTGAGTTCATGACATGATTTGGCTTCAATGAGTTCTGGGAAAGTCTTGTGCTGGACACCAACGTCTCCACCATTTTCGTGAGTTCGTGACATGATGGAGCAAATGGCTCCGGAGCTCAAAAAGGGGCTCCCTCCTAATGTTAATGTTAATGTTAAATGATCTTTTTGAGCGTTGGGTGTTCAAGTGCTGTGATTTCACCGGCTCACGAGAGCACTAAACATACATTTGATCTCTGAATCATGACATCATCGAAATGATCGAAATGCAACATTGTGAAATATATTTGTTTAATGATTTTACTGGTTACTCGTTGAGCTTCTAGCTCACCCCAAAATTATTTGATTCCCCTCCACAGGGCTCAAAGCGAAGGAAGGACTTGTTGTGCTTATTCACATGTCTGGATGGCCTATATCTTGTACAGTTTGGATTTGGAATCATTTTATGTATAGTTGGGAATTGTTTCCGCTTCGCTTATGACATGTAATTTTTGGAGAATTTGATGTATATTGGAGATTTATATTGTAATATTTGAGTTTTATCTTGCAATCTATTTGAGGACTTTAGTGAACGACTGAGTCTCGGCGAGAGCCGGGCAGGCGACCCGCCGAACCCTCTGGTTCGCCCTAGGGGGAGGTGGGGTCGTCACATAACCCGCCTAAATTTATTGGTGAACCCGATCCTGAGGTAGCGGAGAATTGGTTGGCGAGAATGACCAACATATTCGCCGCTCTAGATTATACTGAGGATAGGCGAGTGAATTTTGCTGCTTTCCAATTTGAGGGAGTGGCTCGTGCTTGGTGGGATGTGGTAAGGAGAAAGTGGGAAAGAACTCAAATCCCTTGGACTTTGGAGAATTTCACGAGAGAGTTTAATGAGAAATTCCTTCCGCCTTTGATCCAAGAAAAGAGGGAGGATGAGTTCATCAAGTTGAAACAAGGGACCCTTAGTGTAGCGGAATATGATGGGAAGTTCACTAAGCTTTCCAAGTATGCCCCTGAATTGGTAACTAATGAGCGAAAACGGATAAGACGGTTTGTACCGGGAGTTAATGTGGAAATCTAGGAGGGCTTAGCCGCAGCCCAAATCTCTACTTTTACTGAGGCTCTAGAGAAAGCACAAAGGATTGAGAGTGCCAGAATGCAAGTTAAGGACTTTCACAATAGGAAGAGAAACTTTTCCAGTCACACTTCTGGACAAGCTTGTAAAAGTGCACAGCCTTCCAAAATGGAAGAGGAATGGGAGGAACAAGGACTGCAGGAGCTTTATCCAGAGGAGGTCGTGGTGGACCGGTTCAAGTTAGGGGAGCGCCTTCTAGTGGATCGGCAATGACCCCTCAATTTACTTGTGGGTACTGTGGTAAACCCAACCACTCTGAGAATGACTGCTGGAGGAAGTCGGGGAAATGTCTGTTTTGTGGGAGTGTCGAACACCAACTCGCAGGTTGTCCAAAGGCACCAAAATTGGGAGGTAATCCTCAGAGGCCAGAAAAATCAACCTCTAAGCAGACTAGTGCTGGAGGGAGCCGACCTAAGGTACCGGCTAGGATTTATGCACTGGATCACCAACAGATACCTGATGCGACTGAGGTGGTTAAAGGTACAATTCCTATTTTTCACTGCTTAGCTAAGATTTGAATTGATCCGGGTGCGACTCATTCTTTTGTAAACCCTAATTTCATGAGTGGAATAGACTTGAAGCCAATTAAGTTATCTTACGACTTGGAAGTTATAACGCCTACTAGGGATCAAAGTCTAATCGTTAACTTGGTGTATAGAGATTGTGAGATCTGGGTTGGAGAACGGAAATTATTGGCCGATCTGATAGGTTTAGCAATTAAGGGATATGATGAGATCCTAGGAATGGACTGGTTTGCCCGTTACAATGCCCAGTTAAATTGTAAGACAAAGATAGTAGAATTGTGCATTCCGGGAGAGGCAACCCTGAAATTGGATGTAAAAGGTAGATTAGCCTCGTCTACACTTATTTCAGGGATTTGAGCTAGGAAAATATTGAGTAAAGGAGCTCAGGGATATTTGACTTTTCTAATCAACACCCCTAGTGATAAAGTGAATCTGGAAGACATGCTTGTAGTGAAAGATTACCCAAATGTTTTTCCTAAAGAGTTAGAGTCTTTACCCCTGAAACGGGATATAGCTTTTAAGATTGATGTGACTCCGGGAGTAGCACCTATTTCTAAGACGCCATATAGAATGGCTCCGGCTGAATTGAAGGAATTGAAGCTGCAATTGCAAGACTTGTTGGAACGGGGTTTTATAAAGGAGAGTGATTCACCGTGGGGAGTCCCGGTCTTGTTTGTTAAAAAGAAAGATGGGAGTTTAAGGTTATGTATAGATTACCGAGACTTGAATAATGTCACTATCAAGAATAAGTACCCATTGCCCCACATCGATGAATTGTTTGATCAATTGCAAGGGGCGGTAGTATTCTCGAAGTTGGATTTGAGACAGGGTTATTATCAATTGAGAATTTTGGAGAAAGATATACCCAAGACTGCTTTTAACTCGAGGTATGGATACTTTGAGTTTGCAGTGATGCCATTTGGATTGGCCAATGCACCTGCTGCTTTCATGGATTTAATGCATAAGATTTTTTAGCCTTATCTAGACCAATTTGTGGTGGTCTTTATTGATGATATTTTGGTGTACTCTAAGAATGTGAAAGATCATGAGAAGCATTTGAGAATTGTTTTATAAACTTTGAGGGAACACCAATTGTATGCTAAATTTAGCAAGTGTGAGTTTTGATTAGAAGAAGTGACTTTCTTGGGACACATAATTTCTAAGTATGGGATTAAAGTAGATCCAAGTAAAGTTGAAGCTGTTTCAAAGTGGAAACGATCGGAAAACCCTACAGAGGTTCAAAGTTTTATAGGACTAGCAGGGTATTACCGGAGATTTATCCAGAATTTTTCTAGGATTGCTGGACCCATGATTGAGTTGACCAAGAAAAGTGGGAAGTTTGTTTGGAGTTCCAAGTCTGGAGAGAGTTTCCAAGAGTTGAAAAAATGTTTGACAAGAGCGCTTGTGTTAGCTTTACCAAATGGAAAGGATAGTTTTGTGGTCTACACAGATGCTTCTAAAGAAGGATTAGGATGTGTTTTAATGCAAAATGGTAGAGTGATAGCATATGCATCTAGGAAGTTGAAACCACACGAAGGAAATTACCCGACTTATGATTTGGAGTTAGCGGTTGTGGTGTTTGCTTTGAAGAAATGGAGACATTATCTGTATGGAGTGACGTTTGAGGTTTTTACTGACCACAGAAGCCTTAAGTATTTATTTTCTCAAAAGGAGCTGAATTTGAGGCAACGTAGATGGATAGAATTTTTAGAAGACTATGATTGCACGATAAAGTAACATCCAGAAAAGGCCAATGTAGTGGCCGATACTCTAAGTCGTCAAGTGCAAGTAGCCGGATTGATGATTAAGGAATTACACTTGTTAGTGAAAATTAGTTATTGGAACCCTAAACCTGAACCAAGAAAAGTAATTTTGGGGAATATTGTAGTGAATTTCACTCTGTTGGAGCGTATCAAGGAATCTCAGGAAAAGGACGCTGAAGTGCAAAAGTGGTTGGAAAATGTCAAAAAGGGAGAAAAGTCGGATTTTAACTTGGGATCAAATGGTATATTAAGGTTTCGGAATCGGATAGTAGTGCCAAAAGACGAAGGGCTTAAAAAGAAAATTTTAGAAGAGGCACACCGATCGAAGTTTACGGTACACCCTGGAGGGAATAAAATGTACCAAGATTTGAAGACTCTGTATTGGTGGAAGAGCATGAAGAAGGAAATTGCTCAATTTGTCCAGACTTGTTTGACTTGTCAACAAGTAAAAGCCGAACATCAAAAATCGTCGGGACTTTTGCAACCTTTGGAGATACCCGAGTGGAAATGGAAAAATATCACTACGGATTTTGTATCAGGGTTACCAAGGACACAAAGAGGCCATGATACTATTTGGGTGATAATGGATAGATTGACCAAATCGGCTCATTTTCTGCCCATTAATATGAAATACTCATTGGAGAAGTTAGCTAAGTTGTACTTGGATGAAATTATCAGGTTACATGGAATACCTATGAGTATCGTGTCCGATAGAGATCCGAGATTTGTTTCGAGATTTTGGTAAAAGATGCAGGAAGTGTTGGGAATTAAATTGAATTTTAGTACTACTTACCATCCCCAGACCGATGGACAGTCTGAGAGGACAATTCAAACCCTTGAGGACATGTGTTTTGGATTTTGGGGAGAGTTGGAGTAAGTATATAACTTTAGTGGAATTTGCATATAACAATAGTTTCCACTCTTCTATTCAAATGGCTCCATATGAAGCACTTTATGGTCGAAAGTGTAGGTCTCCAATTTGTTGGGATGAAATAGGTGAACGAAAGATTTTAGACCCGACTACAGTGCCTTGGATCGAGGAGGCCAATGAAAAGGTGAAGTTGGTACGCCAGAGGATTTAGACCGCACAAAGTCGTCAAAAGAGTTACGCAGATAACCGAAGAAAAGATTTAAAATTTGCAGTTGGGGATCTAGTATTTCTTAAGATTATACCTCTGAAAGAAAGTTTAATGTCTGGAAAGGGAAAGAAGTTACAACCGAGATTTGTAGGACCTTACAAGGTTATCCAACGCGTGGGAAAGGTAGCGTATAAGTTGGAATTGCCACCGAGTCTTGTCTCGGATCCATAATGTTTTTCACGTGTCCATGCTTAAGAAGTATCATCCAGACCCTTCACATATTTTACAACCGAAAAGTATAGAAATTGATGAGACTTTGACCTATGAGGAGAAATAGGTAAAACTTCTGGATAGGAAGGTGAAAGAATTGAGGAATAAACGGATACCATTGATAAAAGTTCTTTGGAGGAACCACGGACTAGAGGAAGCGACCTAGGAAATTGAAGAAGCAATTCGAGAAAAGTATCCAGACCTGTTCGTGAATCAAGGTAAATTTCGAGGACAAAATTCTCTTAAGAGAGAGAGGATGTGAGGACTCGCAAAATTTACTTATTTAAATTTCCTATTTCTAGCTTATTTAATTATTTATTTGGCCATTTACTCAGAATATTTTATTTTGACCTTTTAATACTCAATTACATAGAATAATAGCTCACATGTATTTTTAAAGTGACTCGTTTCAAAATTTAATTTTTGGAAGCTCGTTAAGTGAAAATAGCGAATACGCGTTTGGAGACAATAACCGATTTGAGAGTACTATGAGTTTGAAAAATTGGAGACTTATACACTAGTCTTAAAATAGGTATTTTTATGTTTAACTACTCAAGTATTAGTTAGTGATACTATCGTTATAAGAATTTCGTGAAAATTCCACTCTACCGCGCACAAATTGGAAGTACGCGTTTTTACACGCGCGATTTAATTGAGGGACTTTAGACCCTTATTTTTAGTCCATTAAGAGTGAATAATAATAGCAGGAATACAAGTGCATTAGAGGTTTAGTGCACAAGTGAAACAAAGTCGAGAGGAATCGAGCATGAAACGCGCGCGTACGCGCGGGAGAGAGAGTTGACTTTTGAACCAATTTAGAGCCACACATTTTAGCTTCTCTTGGAAGCTTCATTTGCAGCCAAAACCTCTCTCTCTCTCTTGCTCTAAGGCAGCCGGCCATCCAAGGAGAAAACAACCAAAGTTCTTCATTTTCCTTCATCAATCCTTGCTTCAAATCTTCACCAAATCACCTCAAAATTCACATACACTTTGCTTACGGAGATCACCTCAAGTTAGGAAAAGGGGCTTGCTCTCACGGTTTTTCTTGAGCTAAAAGGACCGAAATTTCTGCCTTGATCATCTAAGAAAGTAAGTGATGATCAACCTCTCAAATCTTGACTTATGGAAGTTATATTGCACTTATAAGCTCATATATTCATGTGGGTAGCTTTATTTATGTTGGAAATTTGGTGTGTGGGCTCTATGAAATCCCACAATGGCTTGGTGGACTGATTTGATGATATATGATGTGATTTATGTTGGATTAGTGCTTAATCTAGTGGAAATACGTTGGGTTGTGAAGGAAAAAATCAAAAGGAGAGAGTTGAGTAAAAGTGATAAATCTGCCCTTGTTATTGCCGTGACCCTTAGTGCATTTTTTTTGTGGTTCAATTGACTTGTTTATGATGTATACATGTTGTGTGGGTTGTGTGGAAGGTTTCCACAAAAAATTACGTGATTTGGATCATTAAATGTTGAGTTTACGAAAATTTGTCAAAGCTGGAAATGAGTCCCGTATTACTCTGGCAGTGTTTTTGTTTCGGTCATAACTTTTTACTCCGATATCAAAATTGAGTGCCGTCAGTGGCATTAGAAACTAGATACTTCCAGTTTTCCAATGGTATAAAATGCATGCCCTGATTCCACCTGAGTGAACCATACCAATCGTTTGAACATGACTGCCCGGTTTCACTGATTCACTGGAGTGCAGGTCATGAGCTGCAACTAGATGCTCGAATATGGCTAGTTGTGGATAGATTTTTAAAACGATTCCTTCTGTGAACGTTTAGCCTTATGAATGTAGTTTCCAACTCTACCAACCATGCTCAATTCCAAGTTTAATTGAGTGAGTTATGACCGAAGTTTGAAACTGATTCAGTGGTTGAAAACCCTCTTTTTGACTAGTAAATGCCTAAATCTTGATTGGGACTTGTTATTTTGAAATTCTTGGTGTTGATCACCTACCAAATGTATCTTGGATGTTTCTTAGACATTGTCTACACAAATGGACCGTGTTTGAGACATTTTGTTGGCCAAACGTTTTGAAAACGGAAAACGGAACCACAAAGCAGTTTTGTCTTGGAAGTTCTTGGAGCTTTAATGATTTTGTTAACAGACTTCCCGTACGTATTTTTCTATGAAATTTGACAGAGGAAAATCTCTTATATTTTAGTATAATCATACCAAATTTGGTGCCATTTCGAGTTCATTTCGAAGCTCAAACAAAGTCCCGAAGTACGTGATT